TCCACCCCCGACAGATCTTCCGTCCATTGAGCTGCCGTTTAGTTCGATTGTCCAACTGTACTTCTTAGTGTTTCGAGGTGCATCGCGGTTCTCTTCTCTTCCCGAGAGAAACAAAAACGATTGGCTGTCTGAACTCTGAACTCTACACTGTTTTTTTTCATGGGACACATCATCTGCCGGCAACATTTAATTCACGCTTACGTGGTTGGATCGTATTACGGCGATTTTCCAAAAACAGTAAACAGACCATCATTTGATACTTCCTGTCCGCTCTGTTCGTTAAAGGTTTCCTAATTATCTCCAAATCCCTGATCCAGATAGGCGAAATGATAGATTCTCCTCGAGGAAATCATCATAACCACCGGGTCGAAATACGCCAACAAATGTCCGAGCATCACTCGGAGTACACACACACACACCATTCACTCTCTTCATTGGTGACGTTCGTGCAGCTTCTCAATTGCTCTGCAACATTAGACCACTGAACTTTTCAATTTTCTCTTCTACTTTCCAGCTTTCCTGTCTTTCTCCTAATGTTCATCCAAATTTGCAACCGAATGATAGCAACCAAAACCGGCGCACAAAAGTGCATCCGTAATGGTCGTACAAAGTGAACTGAACTGAAATTCTTCATCCTCAATGTACAGCAAATGCATTTCCCTCCACCAAGCCGTCGTCCTTCCACTCGGTTACATTACAGACTTATCTATGCCCGTCCAAAAGCCAACCGCTATTCTGTTGTACTGTAACGGTTCTTTAACCGACAGTTTCAAAACGGCCGTTTTGGCTTCTTCTTTCTCGCTTACTTTTGCCTAAGTTTCCTGGTAGATTCGTACATGTTGGATGTGATAATGAAATCCCGGACAACAAGCAACTTCATCAAACAGTGGTGTTGCTAGCAGCAGGACAGTTTCAGTTACCAACCAGTCCTTTGTAATTGAGGACAAATCAGGACATGGTTACATAACCATGGTATGGTTATCGGAACCAACAAGGTCCACATATCCAGTAGCAACTTGACCCCTTTGATCATGCCTAGTTATGGACGACGATTCTCATACACCGGCCCGATGCAGCGCGGTGGAGGTTTTGGCTAGCCAAAGGCTCCGGTGGTGAATTCCCCAAAACGGTCCACCTCCCTTGGCCTGGGAAATCTGGCAGTATCGCATCCATTAACAAATTATGGAACTTTTTAAGTTTTATAAATATCATTATACAGTGATTTAAAATGACAATTCGTCGTGAACTGAAAAGCTCGGAAGCACTGGACAGCTGTTTCGACCTGGTTGGGTCTCATCAGCAGTGCGAACCCATCGAGCCGACAGAGGATCAAGCCCGGGACTTCATGGGCAGAACGTAAGCGCGCTACCCACTAAGCAACGGGGCAGATCATTAGGCTGTTTTTCATTTTCCATTTACACGATATAACACAACCCATCTTTGAGAGTTTGTTGCGGGCCACGGACCCTACTCAACTCAGCACTAGCCTCCAGGGTTATGACACTGTCTGGTCTCAACCGAATGCTTCTGGGAGCATTCGGTTGGGCGTTCAACTTAACGTCTCGTTGGTTGTTGTGGTTGTCATTGCTACTGTTTCGTTTCGTACTGCTCTTCATTCTGTCTTTAGCCACCTCTGTTTGACCTGTCTCAGTCGATCGACCATTTGCGATCCCGATAGTGGGGGTGGAGCTGGTGGGTGCACGTTGTGTGCTGGATATGCCGAGACGACAGTGATGTGATAGCACACACGATCGGATGTTCATATGAACATTCAATATAATTTCCATGATATATTTTACTCTTCAAATACAAATCTTTCACGGTTCTAAGGTTTAGTGGTAGCTAATAGATGCGACACTTTCGGTGGTTATTTATCCATCGCAGATAAATTTTTCACCTCGGTATTAATCCGTTTAATGATTAGTATGGTAGTAGTATAATTCAAATTACATTGTTATAAACCGTGTGTTTCGCGAAACCGCGATCGGTGAGGATTAGACACAATCGATCATAAGAAACACAAGTGCATAGGAAAATACTTCGATATTCCAGATGGCATGTGTTCACCAGAGGTTGCTGTTAATACCTTAGTATTATGGTCCCCTCAGGCACTTGCAAAAATGTCCTCCTGACCTGTCCCTAAGCGGTCCTGTAGAATCACCGCAAAATTTGTTGAAAGCATGTTCTATTGGATTAAAGAACAAGCCATACGTTAGCATTCGTCAACTGGAGTACACAGGGCCGACCACATTAGCTTGGCTCATTGTAAAAAAGGAATGCAGCTTCGATATTTGGCTAATCGTCCAACAACTTCTGAGAACACTTTTCACGAGAATCATTGAAATGATACCCAGTTGTTAATCGCGGATTACTACGTAAACCAGGATTCCACTGCGTATCTAGAAGAAACTGATCGAACATACACATGGTTCTTCACCACCGATTGTTTTCACACAGCAGGTACTGTTGTTCGAAAAAAAGGATGTTCTGGACGGATCTACAAGTTTGTCATGTGACAAAAAACAAAACACACGAAACGAGTTCAGTTAAATATCATCCAGGAGATGTGATTAAGATCACTCAGTGCTAAACAGTGAGTGCTCGAAGCAGATACTACTACTACTACTACTACTACTACTACTACTACTACTACTACTACTACTACTACTACTAGTACTACTACTACTACTACTACTACTACTACTACTACTACTACTACTACTACTACTACTCGTTTGTAAAACACAATACAAAGATAGCTGAAGGAATTAGTGTAGATAAAATGAAAGTAAAAGAGAAGATAGAAGATAAGTACCATCACAATCGGGTTAGTTTGGGTTCAAACTCGTGTACGGTGGATGAAAATAAATTGAAATGGAAACAATCGGAAATGTGGAAACATCATAGATATAAGTTAACACTAGAACCTCAGGAAATTTATCCTCGTACAAGAGGCATCGTCGTTAAAGGAAAGTGATAACCTGTAAAACTGGAGAACACCCATTTTCTATAAGTGTTTCCATAGGGACTACTAATATGCTTTTCAAGGCACGCTTACTACCAAAACAAGCGAGTCATGAGCAATATTTATTAGGCAGTTACAGATTGAACATAGAAGAATAGAATATTTTATTCTTTTTTAAAACATTTTAAAACAGTTATAGCTTTCACTGCTAAGTTTCAGTTTCAGTTTTTACAACCGCTAACCATACACACTTTTGTGCACCGATTTTGTTGCTGCTTTTTTGCCGCTCATCTGGATAAAAGAGCAGAATGAAGATTGGCATGTTGAGAAAAAATAGTAGCGACAGATAGCGAATTCATAGAAACGGATGTTGCAATAATAATGAATAATAGAAGATAGATAATAATGAATAGATGCACACACGCCACTGGTTCCGGTATTCAGATATGTCACTGATTGTCTCTAATAACCGGCGACCATGATCTCGGGGTCAATATCTAGGGAGCCTAGCGGTATCTATGTGATCCATTGTCCTGGTTGGGATTTTCACACCCATATACCAGGTCTTAGTTTGATCAATCTTGGTATTTTACACCTACTACACCTACAAATGGGGAAAGTCAGGCGGTGTTGGTGATGTTGGTTGATGGGATTCGAATGCAAGTGCTTTGGGATGATAATTTAATGATCTTTACGGCCCAGCCATCACCAATGAGGCTTGTTCTGCTTCGCGACTCTTACGGCCTTTGCCAGCTTGCTTTGTCTGGATAAGAGACGCATGCATACACAAGAAATATAAATGGAAATAAAGCATCACTATGCGCTTTACCGGGTGGAAAAGATAGTCGTGAAGTTGATTTTAATCATGAATAAAAGCCCTTCACAATAAGTTGTTCCAATCGACTCAGAGAAAGGCGAACAAGCAACCGTGATTCTCTTCTAAAGGGGACGAGAAAATGAATTTGGAAAGGTTATCTTGCACATCAGGGATAAAACAAACGTGATTTTACGCAAAGGTGTGAGGGAGGGCTGGGGGAATTGATCGAAAACTAGATTGGTAATGTCTTTACCTCCGTAAGTCTCAGTATGGTCAGAGGTGGGTGTCTTTGGTTGTGGTCGGTCACTCTTCCCTTAAGCCGTGTGGAAGTGCTCATATACGACCAATCGTCTCAAATTGCTTCCGCTGAGGGAGCCCAACTCACTACCTTCTCGTAGCGGAACTGTTTTTCAACCAAAGTGAGCGGACGAAAAGCCGACATCCGGGGCTATAACCGGGTTGGTGGATCACTGGTAGTTCACCTAGGGGAGTGAATCAACAACAGTGATTCCAAATTAACCGTGAGGAGGCTTGTGAACCACACACCCTCCCGGTTGTGACGATGGTCACTGTTTCAATTGGGCATCGAGGTGCGTCGGGCAACTTGGACGTTTGACCCCGTCTAGAGCGAGTATGATCCGATGAACTGGGCACCGGCTCCCAATGGATTGCGGTTTTCACACCGTCCCGCTCACTGCCTTGCGGGTCAGACTTTGCCTAGCCGAAGGCTCCGGTTATGGATTCCTTAAGAAAATTCACCTGTCTTGGTCTGGGCAGCCTGGTTGTATTCAGCCTAAATGCAAATCATGGAACGTTTTTCTTTTTCATAAAAATCATTGTACCATGATTTGCTTGGCACACAGTCTGGAGTCAGACGTGTGTGAAATATAAAATATAAAATAAAGAAGATCTTTGTTATGAAATAATAGTACAGCCTGGCTGTTGGGACGCGCGTTTGTGCTTCTCGGTCAGCAAATAGATACGAATTTTAAAATTTATGACCTAAGGCTAGAAAACACCATGAGTCAAATTGAAAATACATAAGCGAGGGAATAAGAACCACGGAATGTAATGTAATTCAAACAGACACGTGTATTTGTCATGATTTACGCAGATAGTGAGCTGTGGGAATGTGATTGCTACCCTCATCGTCTTTCTGATTGTTTCTGAGTGTAATGGCCGAGCTTCCAAACTGAAATTCGAAGGGAACGAGTCGTTATGAACAAGAAGCAACTGGCGTCACAAGTGGCAAATACACATATTCAGGCTTCACACAGAGAGAAGGAGAGTGAGCGGCAACAATCGTTTATCAAAGCAGCATGCAACACTACAAAACCGGAAGTGGAAGAGGAAGAGCAAACGTCCGAGGTGAAGGTCACTCTGGGGGAGGGGTCGGCTAACCGACTGAGCGTTCATGTCTTCTGCACGTTGATCGATAACGTACAGCGGATTACCTAAACACAGAAAGAAAGAAAACGGAGTATTAGCGCGTGCGCGCGCGCGCACGCACGATGAACAGGGCAAACCAGTGACATTAACGGTACGATAGCATACGGGCCGTATCAGACGCGTGTTGCGTTACATTACTGATCATCCCTATTCGGATGATACACACTAATGGGATTTGTATGAATTGATGCTGCATTTTTCCCGACACTGTGTACAATTAAGAGGTTTCAAACAAAATCATTGATTCCATTCGACAAGTTGATTAGCGCTCGTGAATTCAAACTGTTTGCTAATTGAACCCATTCATGGTACCCGTATCACATAGTCACATTAGCTGTGATTAGAGACATATTTCACCATATTACAATGTTCTCTCTCTCCCCCCCTACCCACGCACCTACAACGGTATTCTCATTTCTACCCAGGTGACGTACACATTCTACTACGAGGTTATCGGGCAAATTGTGGCCTTGTATATTGATGCTGTGCTAGACACCGTTTCACAAACGTATACACAAGAAACGAGCGTTGTATTTTTACAAGTAAGTCACGTCCTGATTGTGTGAATGATTCTTCTGTTCAATCATTATAAATGGTCACTGTATTACTTACATATCCAACGTTACTGCCATGATTGACAATCTGATCGATCGACTAATGTTGCGCAACGAAATTGTATGCAAATTTGTTTTGTTCCCAGCATGATGCACTAAGATGAAAATATACTGCTGAATAGATTTTTAGATGCAATTTTATCCAATGAAACGCGGTGTTAAATGGTAATGGGTGATCAGACCCCACAAGCTCGTCCACACACACACACACACACACACACACAGCATTCTGAATCTTTTGTGTGTGTGTCTGTGGTGGGGAAAGCCGGTCGCTTTGCGTTGACCTTTCGCTGCTCGTGAAAAACAAGTCACAATTGTCAGCCTTTGCAAGATGGACTTATTGGACGATGACAAAACACACATTTGGTCGAACTGAGCACTTTGGGTTTGAGTTTTTGGGAAACATTTGAAGAATTCAAACGTCACTTTGCTAACAAAGCGACAAGCAGACCGGTTCAACAGCAAAAAATGTGCACAGGGTTGTCTTCAGAACGAATCAAACCAGCGTGGAACAAAGCAGTTTAAATAGGAATTCGGTACCTACGTAGTAGTTGAGACATGATGTGAAGTCGCTTGTGTCTGCAAACGTCCAACTCGGTTCGGAGGAAAACACACGTGTTGTCACTTTCTGCCCATACGGTGGGCGAACACGAAATGATCAAACGAATTGGGCACAAGATATCACATATGTTATGGTAGAACTCCTTCCTTCTCTAGGCAAGTGTTTCACACACATTGTTTCATGGTACCACAGCTTGAATGATTTCTACACTGAAACCAGCTGAGCTTCAATCTGACAAACAACAATTTGAACAATCAACCTTGCTTTAGAAGTTCATTCGGTGAACTGCGGTGAATTCTAAGGAAATCCTGTCCGGGTAGTCAGCTTACATGCTAATTGGTGGATGTCATATAGATGGGTAGTTCGAATGTGGAAAGATCAGTGCACTGTCGATATGGCCTCGTCGTGGCTCAGCTGATAAAGCGTGCGCATGGATCCGAATCCCACAGAGGCAACTGAACTTTTCACAATCTCAACATAAAGAATTATCCATTTTTTTTACATTTGGACTGACCGGTTTCCCTTTTCGAGGATTGAGACGTTTGAAATCATTGCATGTTTCCCGAAAACTCTGACCTGACTTGTTCAGTTAGACCAAATTTACTTTTTTATTGTCCGTCAAGTTCCCTTTACATTGACTGAAAACTGACTTGTTTTTACCCGAGCAGAGAAGGGTCAACAGAAAGCGATCGGCTTTCTGCACTCACTAACGATTCAACAGGATGCGTGGACAGACAGACTTGTGAGTTGTGATCACCCCTTGCCATTTGACACACTGTTTCCTTGGCTAAAATTACAACTGAAGCGCAGCTGAGAATTCGACTCAGTAGTAGTGTGTTTTTGTCTTAATGCATCACTTGGTACATGTATCAATCCGGTGAGTCTAATTCGAAGACGCATCCATAATGTGTCGAGGGTAGACAGTCTGTTGGCGTTCAAACCACAAAGACTACAGCCCGTGCACACATACCTTGGGGCATATTGTTGTCTGTTATTAAGACTAGTTCAAAGTTTTATTATCACTATCCGTTTATCAAACCCGCTTCGAAAAATAGTGCGAGTCAAGCGTTGGCCCAGTGTCATCATCAGTTGATGTCCATTTCCAATTTCCCACAACTGATCCTCCTATGCTGATTCTCTACCACCACTTAAGCAGCATCGGATTCGGAACCTATCCTCGTCCTGTGCCGGCCCGAAAATCACACGACTGATCGGGTTCGTTTATCGATCGATCGAATGGTTCAGTCGCAACAACGGACCTGGTGATTGTCCAGCTAACCCGATTGAGAAACCACACCTTGTCTTAGGCAGGCCTAGTGAACTTCGACTGTATAGCAGGAGTGCCATCACCACTCGGATGGACTGGACGTGACAACAAGAGCATTACAAAAAGTACAAGCAGGTAATCAGACAGTCTCGTGTTCGGATGAGAGATTCCAAGTGCCGCAGATCGCGGAATATGATCCAATCAGATCACAGAAAGGGTCCGAGGGAACTTACGTGTTCTAGGTCACGGGTGAGAGGTACAAGACGATATGAAACGATGGAGGAATCTCACTGTACAACTTTTCCTTGCGTGATGCGCCGGTCCAAACAGTGTTATGTAGATAACTAAGGGTAATTCAGCCGCGTTTTGGTTTACTACTGTGAAAGTTTAGACCGGTGGATTTTAATCATCCAACTCGTATTATGGTAGTTCCAATTTGGGGTTCGTGAGAACCAGACTGTCAAACGCGAAAAAGAAACTACATTCGTAAGCCCGAACGCATCGCAGTTAGCTGCTCTCATGCATTTGTTCCCTTAATGGACACACGCACCTAAGTTTATTTTGTCCCAACCGCTGACCAGAAGACCGTACCGAACTGTGGGAAAGGGATCCTCTAAACGTTTTTTTGAGGAAAAGCTGAATTTAATTGAATCAATTCTCAGCCGTTTGCCATTCCTGATTAATGTTGGTGGGACCAAATAACCGAAGCTGGATAAATATTCCTTTTTAGACAGCAATTAAATCAAATTCTCTGAGGAATTTTTGGAAAATCGTGCATCGATTTACTGACAATTATTTGGAATATCGACTACAATGTTCTGTCAAAATCGTAAAACATGTGTCAACAGGAATCAGGAACCGTGTTTTACTTTGCCATAATCGAGAATTGATTTTGAAAAGAACGGAGAACTGGTTCGCGTAGCTTAGCGTTCGTATTCGGGAAAACTTTTGATGGAAGGGTAGGCTGATTGGATCGTGTAAAACATCCTTTTCCCTTTATCCATTTGATCAACACAAGAAGACATACATGGGCAGAATTGATATTGGCGATCAATTTTGCGTGCTGTAAACGCACATTTATATGATCATGTGAGACGAAAACACATAAGAGTTGAAATGAGTCATTTGAATAAGATGGTGGACAAGTGAGCTACGTGATTTGTGTTTGGTTAGGGGATGAGGTCAAGTTAGATGACAAAAGTTGATATGGAGGTCAACTGGTCCGAACGGTCTGGTAAAAGATTTTTAGGGAGAGGGGGGAAAGGACATGTCATGCTATGGTGGGGTGGTATCAAGTGTGACATCACCACTGCACATTGGTTTGTCCCGACTGAATACAACTCGTCTCGGTCCGATGCAAACAACGTTTTCGTAGGCGAACAGGAACAGATGGAAAGAGAGAAGTGACTGGTAGGTGTATTGTGATGGGATGGGAAAACTTGATCTGTCTGTTTTTCTATTAGTTGTTGTTGTTTATGAGTGTAGCTGGTTGATAGAAACCGAGTACGAATCGGTGCGTGGGTGGGGCTAGTATAGGTTATAAGTGCGAAAAGGAACGACCGCAATACCCGATATGCCAAGCCGGTCATCCATGCAAGTACTAACCGGGCTCGAGGTTGCTTAACTCGAGTACTCTGACAGACTGACTGACTGCAGCTGACTGACTGATTGACTGACTGACTGATTGACTGACTGACTGACTGACTGACTCAATGAATGAATGGATGAATTATGTGAAACATCCTTTTCCCTTTATCCATTTCATCAACAACAAAAGACATATGTGGGCAGAATCGATATTGGTCATCAATTTCGAGTGCTCTCATTCAGCTGTAAACGAACATTTATATGATCGTGTGAAACGAAGAAGCATAAGAGTTGAAATGAACAGTGTTTGAAAAAAGTGTTGGACAAGTAAATCGAGTTTGAGTTTGGTTAGGGGTTGAGGTCAAGTAAGATGAGAAAATTTGATATGGGGGTGAACTGGTCCCCGGACGCTGTGGTGAATGTGGTGAACTAGGGAGGGGGAGGGAAGGTCATGTCACGTCATGCCATGGTAGGGTGGCATCAAGTGTGACATCACCACTTCTATGGCAACAACAGTTTCGTCACAATTGTTTTTCGAGCCCATAAGTGCGGTTTCAAACAAAGAATAATTATCGCTTTTAAGAATTGCAAAGTCCTTGAACTTTGAGGCCTCGCAATGACTCGAAACGCTTTGAGTACGTCTTCATGGTGACCGGAATCTAACAAATGACGGGCAATAGCACTAGATGATAATTTCCCTTCATGAGCATCAACGTATTCCGGAACACGTTCAAATATTCTGGTTGATGACGTTGTGTCCTTCCGATGTACGGCTGATCGCAGGTATATTGAAATGAATAGATGCAGTTAGAGGTAACACTTATGTCTTCTCGATCCAGAGTAGTGCGTGCGAGACAACGAAACGTCCCATAGACAATCATTAGTCTTGCAGCATTGTACATCTTTTCCACGGTGTGTAAAACGACGAGATATCTTTGATGTTACATCGTCTATCTTGAAAGGCAGTTCAATATAGACATATTTTTTTCTTGTTCAAATGACTCATTTCAACTCTTATGTTTCTTCGTTTTACGTGATCGTATAAATGTGCGTTTACAGCTGAATGCGAGCACGCGAAATTGATGACCATCATCAATTCTGCCTACATGTCTTCTTGTGTCAATTGAATTATTCGCATTTAAATCACAGTTACTTGTGAGTAGTGTGTGTGGGATAATTGATATTGATGGATTTGAACTGACTATCCTTCGAACTTCAACTTCACACACCATCCTCAGTTCATCGATTCAACCATACACTCGGAAGCACTATTGACTCGAGTTTCGCTCCTATTAGAACTCATCAGCAGTGCATATCCACCCTCCCGTCCGGGATTTGAATTCTGGACCCGTCGCGTGGAAGATGTGTGCATTAACACTGTGCCAATCAGCTCATACCGTGGCTGAACCGAATTGCCAATTTCTGTTTGTTCAGGTATCATCTTCACTGATAGCCAGTTCATTTGGCCCGACTGCAACGAAGGGAGACACAGATGACAGTTTGTTAATTTCAATCATGTCAAATAATGCGGTGTTAATAAACTGATAACAGTTATAGGGGTGTACGTTTGTGAACGGTATTTATTATCCCCGGCATTTTAATGTATCCACTTCTCATGAACGGAGTTCGCTTGTGAATGCAAAACAATGTACCGTTTGTGTTACATTTGATATTTTTCTCACAAGAGTATCGCATGTTATACAAAAAAAACACTGAAGCTGTACGAGATGTGACAAATGGTTTGACGATAGTGACACATCGGTTAAACTTTCTCCAAACAACATGTAGTGCAACGTGCGACCCGCAGACCTTATTTCTTAACCAAGCTTTGTTTGACATCAATGTTTGTGGAAAATAATTTTTTTCAACATCCGTTGATTTCAGAATATTCCGATTGTTTTTGATCTGACTCGCCTACTGTGGCGTGACTAATGTTTGTGCGTCAAAGCTGAAGTACTACGAGTCGTAGCTAAAAGGCATTGCGCGTTTTGGTTAAAGATAAATAGGTCGAGTCTAAAGAACTGCGAGTTTTGGCTAAGCCTGATGAGACGTCAAACAATTTTTTTTGGGGGGGCGAAATAGAGTCTCGGATTGTACGCGACAGGACACCGGGCAAGAGAACACCGGACCGGTGTCGAGCTGTGTCAAGTGTGTCCTGTATTGCAAAAATGTCCTCAGGGTGTTCTCAATGTACAGTCAAGTATGTGTCTCTAAAATATCAGAGAGAGAGAGCGTTGATAAACGCTAGGAAACCCAGACTGGGTCATTTGGTTCTGACGCTTAATGGACAAATCATTTTGAAGTGGTACATTGTCGGCGAAATTTCCTAATCCATAATACCGGCAGTCCTAGAACACGGTAGCTGAGGAGCTTGCACAACACTAGATGGTGGTCCACCTGGACAAAATTGCCATGTGTGATCCGAGACAATGAAGATGATAGTTTTCGTGAATAATAATACTACTCATGAGTAATATAAATATATTATACACAAGAAAAGGAAAGTAATAAATATAAAAATGATAGTTTTAAATGGCATTTAACATGGATATTATATATATATTAATTGTTTTTACAGAAAAAATAAACCGCATTCTGTACTGTACCTCATCCAAATGTTCCCATATAACATCACGGACAGTCCCGGTATCGTTTTCAATCATCGTTTGAGACTCCAAAAGGATTCCACATTATTCGTCTGCACACCGGTATTGGGGTTCAAAAAACCTTCAGTGTGGTTAACACACGTAAATATAACCAAGGGAACGCAAAGATCAATACGCGGACCACTGATCTATATATTGTGCTTCCCGGCTGTATCCACCTTTGGATAATAGGCACTAGAACTTTCGCAGAGCGGTTCACTACTCGTTGAAAGTATCCTTTTTGAAGGTCCGGATCATACATTGGTGCAGAATACGGTACATGTTGGAACCGTCCGACATGCTTCAAGGTCACAAATTAAAAACAAATCAAGCAAAAACACACTTCTCTAATTCATAAAAATACACATTAAAGTATATATTAAAAATATTGCAAAAAATATTTGAAATTTACAAAAATGCCCGCTTTTAGCCTGAACCAAGAGTAAGCAAACCTGCAGCAGTGTGAAGGATGGTAACGCGCCCAGATCCGCACGTACGCGGTGAATTAAATAATTGGTCTATTCACAGTGTGTACACATATGGTGGGTCGATCTGCAGGCCCGCGAGCAAGCGGGGTGTCAACACACAAGCGATTCACAAGCCCGGATATCTACGCTAGCGCATGCATTAGATGAAATCAATAAAGCGGGATAGGTAAGCCGTTAGTAAATCAACGAGCGCGAACAGTCCAGTGCGGACACATCTGATTGGCTGAGGAAAATCGACCTTGTCATAGACTGTGACGTGCGTGCGTGCTCGCGTCGTGGCGGGCGACATCAACCAATCAATTCACCCGACCAGAAATGTTTCGGTTAACTCTAGGTCATAGCATCACATCAGCAAACGGTCATGGAAGAATGAAAATTTTTGTAGTTGAAACAATGGCTTCCATTTCTCAGCGGCCGAAGGGTGAATGTCTGGTGGAGATTGATTGTTTCCTGACCTGAGTGCAATCCCAAAATGTTCTCCGTTTGCATAGTCACGTTTATATTGAAACGGGTAAGGTTTCGGCGATCGACATTTGAGAAACGACATAAATCCTTTTGGTATTCACTCTTGGTGTGCACTTATTTTCAACTCCAAAGAGTGAAGCAAGTCTAGGCTCATCCCTCTTCTTTCGTACCGGATAAATCCAACGGTTGTGACGATTTTTTGTGGCCTCAGCACGGTGATTTTTATCCGAGTACTAGTATCTTCTGTGAAGCTGCTCTGATTTGCGGGTCTCCACAGTCGGATGTATCGACTTTGTTGGAATTTATTTGCCAACCATCAATTGAACTGGGCCATTTTGAGTCTCTGAGTGGGAAGTCGTGTGATGTGTACTTTTCTGAAAAACCAAATGCACAACATGAGTATTGGTCGAAGACAATGCAGGTTCAGGATATGCCACGTTTGTTCCACTTCAGTTAGCATCAGCACTGCAGGCAATGTCCACGTTGTGTGTAGAGGTCTCTTGCACACTCAGGGAGCAGTCAATGTCGGATATAGAACGGACAATGGACGCATTTGCATAACTGCCCCAGTTTCTGTTTAATCGATAGATGTAATCCTTCGAAGATTTATCTCGCAAGTTTAACGCGTCAAAAAACCGCGCGCCTTTGGCACCCAAGTATCTCGGTATGGATTTAACACACAATTCATTGATAAGTTCCGTTGAAGAATTAAATGGAGGTAAAACTGTAATGTAATCCACGTATTTAGTCTTCCATGAATTTCAAGATTCATCGGATAGGATAGTTCCGAAATTGAGGAACAGTATGAGATAAACCAAAGATTTAGCAGGTTCATTGTCCGCAAGTCCAAATGTTGTTCTACCCACAACAGACAGAACAGGAGGAGGTGTAAGTGAATGATAGTCTGCGGGATCACTTAGGCTGCCTTATTTGCAAATTGGTGAAATTATACCGTGTCTTCAAATCGTTCATATAGATTAGTTGCTGTTATTCAGACAAAGTACCCTGTGTGCTTGAACTGAGAGTCACAGTATTTTTTTCATTCGTGTTCCCCTCAAGGTGCTCCCACGTTGATAATGTTGATTTGATTACGTAATGCTTTTACTGTTGCGCGCGAGAGAGAGAACAGGTTTCAACATAGAGGACATATTAAAATCATTTAAAATGACAAGTTCTGCGAATGGGAATGAGGAATGGTGGTAGTTAAGGGATCAAGGTCGTCACCATGATGAACCGAATCATCTCTCTCTTCAATTCTTCACGTTCCCAAACCACTACTGATTGATCGAAACCCAATTCCTGAGAATTGACTGTACATTTCGGGTTGTGGTGGTGGCGCAGTGGCTTAGTCGCTGTCACCGGTGTGCTTTGGACTCTATAGTCCGAGGTTAGAGCCACCGGCAACCAACTTTGGTGATGGGCAGCTTTGCTGTCATCCGGTCCTATACCGCGCCTAACGTAGTGGGGCCTAATCTGACTAACCATTCCAAGTCTCGGAGCTTAGGTTACCGGTTTCCATGACAGTTGTTCATCACACCAAGGTGTATAACAATTTTTTTAAATATTGAATATTTCATTTATATACATATATATATATATATCTATATAAAGAAGTAATTCGACAAACACTATACAGAAATATAAACACTAGAAGAATACGGTGAAAGCTCACCCCGGTTCTTTTTGTTTTCACAGGTCGGAGAGAACATGAATTCTATGGCCAGTGGAAATCCAGGCTATCAGATCGGTAGTCCGGTCGTTGCAGCTCGAGCGAATAGCACAGATTTATCATCGCTTGGCAAACAGGGAAGCACGGATTCGGTTGTCGTGATGGAACTCACCAGTACGGCAAATTTTGAACCGGAACTGATTAATACAAACTGGCGTTACACTGGTGGTGTGTGGTATGTGCCCGCTGGGGGATCCTGCCTGCCCGATGTCAATGCGGATGGACCATTTTATGAACCCGTGCGTTTTGGTGAGGATACATTCACGGGTTGTACTATCAAGTGAGTCACGAACAAGCTCTGTTTGGTGTCATTATCCAGTATCTTTATGGGTGCGGAAAATTAAAAAAATCACTTCCTAGTACAGCTCTATCATTGATGCCGAGGCTTAGGTAACACCACATTGTCTATTGTCAAATATTTTGGTATAACTAAAGATAGCGATCTCCACTGGTCAACCCACATCCACAACTGCATTGGTAAACTGTGACGTCTCTCATTTCAAATACGAAAGTTCAGGCAGCTTAACGCATCCCAGTCAGTTATTTCTACCTTCGTTTATCAGTGTGTTTTCTCCATCTTACTCTACTGTTCCCCAGTTATTTTTCCTGGCTTACTCAAGCAGGATTAAAAAGTCTTACGCCGCGGTCTAGCTATTGTGAGTCGTGTCTCTTCTATTCCTGTGAATGAGTTGGCTTTAAAGCCTTCAGAGTATCACGTATGTAAAATTTTTTGAGAGAATTCTCATCGATGCTGACCACCCATTGCACGCAGAACTAACACGTTGCGGTTCTCATCATTCAACACGCTCTCAGTTCCGTCAAATTTCATCTCGAATTGACGCTTACCGCAGTTCACCTACACCGTATCTTGCTCGTTTACTAACAAACAAAGAGCGGAAAATAAGTGAACTTTGTCTTTACCTTGGATTATGAAATGTTCCCATGTCTGTAAAAATTCTCTACCCGCTGATTGTGTACATTGTTCGAATTGTTGTTTGGTAGAGTTGAAGTTTGTATGTCCATTGTGGACTCCGGTAAATTCTAAGGAAAACCTGTAGGGGTAGTCAGCTTACATGCTAACTGGTGGATGCCACATGTCACTGTAGACTTTGTTCGGTGCTGGCCCGGTGGTAACGTCACCAAATTACCACCTTGGGGGACGTGTGTTCGAACCCCACCACTATCACCTGACTTTCCCCATAGCAGCCCTTTGATTGACCGCTTCCGCCTTCCTAAAAATTGTATCATTCAGTGTATTCAATAAAAGGAGGTAAAATTGAGAAAAATGGACGGGTAATTCGAATGTGAACAAAAGATCAGTGCTATCGGTGTGGCCTCGTAGCTCATCTGGTAGAGTACGTACATTGTGACGGTTAGTGTATGATTTTTTAACTGAAATGTGAGATCCAGCACTTGCAAAAGTTATACACAATACAATACAACTAACATGTAAGCTCGTTTGAAATTTGTACATGTTGCACCGCTCGAAAGGAGATAGTTTTAATGAATAACCCTGAAAATCAATGAAACATAGATCCGCTTGGACTAAAAGTAGGAATGAAGAAATTCTCAACATCAATTAGCTGCCCTCTACACACACAAACAAACACATTCCTCTGCGTTATCCAGGAGGTAAGAGTGATAGGTAACCCCACTACCTTTTGGCTCAATACCACTACGGCTTTTTTATTAGAATCTTATGTAGTTTGGCACTTTGAGTTCCACGACCAACATTGTCTATTTCTCAGTATCAACACAAGAAATCAAAGCACCCAAGATAGCGTGCTGATCAGACCCGGGTTAACGACTTCATGCGTGATCGTGAGAATACATCAATCGATTAAACGATGGCCTGAAGCTAGATCAAGCTGGCTCACGGACAAAACCGCCTCGACGAGGTATTGGTCAGTGTCTGCCATGAGTAACTGCATCACGTGATTGGACGATCCATGGGATCTGATGGATGAATGCATATGCAGCAGGCAGAACAAGCAACGCTCAGTATGAATTCACACGCTACAGGACACACGGTTTTACAAGCACACTGTCTTGCATATCTTTCTGCTATCTAAGGCTGAAATATTTTCCTCCAGAGGTCCGACACAGATTTTGTCCCTTCCGCTCAAAAAGGGGGTGAATGTTCTTTTATTCACGATTGAGCCCCAATCTTCAAACCGTGATTTGTCTTATCGATTTGTCTTATCCTTCTTCTCAAATTTGGTTTATCTTCTGCTTGATCTCCTGTGACTGCCTATTGAGAAAACATTTTCAATCCAAGTCCAATTTCCAACTCACCATCCACTACGGTTATAACGAACATAACAGCGGCTAATCAGACTAGGCCATGACAACCGAAGTATAGGGTGCCGAAGCAGAAACAACGTTCATTGTAAAAAAAAACCCGATCATATGTATAAAACGGTATTTGCGAAGAAATTTCTTTTCGATGTATCGCAGGCGTTTACATATATAAGGTGACCATAATACAGATGTCTAATTAAAGCTCAGTTAGTAACGATGACAGGGGCGAGCAAAGAGTAGTCGTGGGTGGGGGTGAGAACACAAAGGTCAAATAGACAAACGTTCGAGAGATGAANAGGTTGTGAGCTAAGACGAGAGAGAGGACGCGATGAAGTTACGTAATATACGGTAGAAACTATAGGTCATGCATAGCAAGTGATGTAATCAGGAAGGGACATTAGAGACAAAAACAAGATAATTAGTTCTTAAGATTGAGATTGGTGATACTATAGGCGGGGATGGGGGTTGATGCTCTGTTTTTTATGCACAATCAATCCGCTGTCCAGGCCAGGGCAACAACAGTGTCTGGACCAGCTTTTTTGCTTACATAATTCTGGATTGAAAATTCGAATT